ATTGTTATCCGAGCATTGAAATGCTTTTTTCTTCGCACTTCTAACACGAACCTAAATGACAATTCCGTTATTCTTTTTTTCATATGGAAATATGTTTGAGTTTCTAGTACAAAAGCTTTTTTTTATTTTTAAATTGCGATGCGAAGGCAGTAGTTGTCGAGAATTCTGAATCTTTTTCACTTTTAAAAACTATATCTGAAATAGTTCTAAATCATTCTAAACTTAACTAGAAGCACTATAGGCAAGAAAACTACTAAAAAATTCTGAAACAAAAAGACTCGGAGTGCTCGATATCTTCATGTATTTATAATAATGTTCTTAAAAGTTATTGAATTTCAAAAGATTTGAATTTGCGAAATTTTTGAAAATCTTAAATTCCTATGGAAAAATAATAATGATTAAATATTTATTTAAAAATTAAGTTATTGGTGTTTAAAGAATAATTTTCCAATTAAAGAAATTCGTAAATAAATGTAATAATAATTTTTTGAGTGAATCATAATATTCTTTAGGGTCTGGAAAAATAGATTTAATTATTATTTTATTATTTAATTCTTTAAATGGATTTAAAATTAGGGATTGATTGAAAATCAGGGATAAAGAAAATTGCATTAATTTTTTCCGGCAACTCTGATTAAGGTTCAAAAATACAATGTTTCAAAATTGAATATAGTGGAAGTATATATAGTGAAAATTATAATATATACCCGCTACCGTTATATATGTCAGTTAATATAAATTTTCCATATATTCGAATCCCCCATATGCTCATGCGAATAGGTCGTGAAATATTTGTGTTTGTAAAACTGATAAAATATTGGCGAAACTTTCCTCTCGAGATGTGATTCCTGGTTCTCTGTCCACATACTGGCATACGCAATTTATTCTCGTTTAAAATTTTTTTTCTGACCTCAACGGGCAAACATCGTCATTATACATTCGCCATTCATTGCTGATTCGCGATGTATTTTTTAATTTTTGAGTTATAACGTTTGTCTAAATATGGCGCGTTCTCACCCTTTTTTCTCTCTCTCTCTCTCTCTCTCTCTCTCTCTCTCGGAATATATATCCATTCAGCTCTAACATCAATTAGACATTGTGAAAGCGTGTACACATATATAGATATAGTTGTACGCGCAAACTTATAAGCTTATGAACACGTTTGCACATTCCTAACGAAACGCAAATATGTGTCCCACTTTAAAGTCTTTTCTTATCGAACCTGAATCTGCATTGTTTTTCGCATTTTTTTTTTTTTCATCCACATGAGCTTTGAATGTCAGAAAAGGAATAAGAATTAACAAGGAACCTTTATGAATAACAAATGCATAGCCTTTCGTGTGTTTTATTATTCATGTTTAGTGTGTATTTTTTGTCGTGAAATCATGTCAAAAGAAATTGTGTGCAGAAACTTTTTTTTTGAATCATAATGCAACGAATGAAACATTTTTCCAAAAATTCATTTTCGATGCCCCTAAAGGTCATGTTGAATAATAAATAGAAAATATTGGACTGTCAGTAGTTGTAGTAACTACTGTCAGATATTTTATTCGTTAAATAATAAATGTTACAAACCTTTAGAAGGTGTATTATCGATTTATTGCACAATGGAAAAATAATATGCAGATTTGAACTCTTCCTTATATTGTAGAAGTGGAAATCTATTTGCTAGGCGGTTAGAGTATATTTGCAATCACGTATGAAGTCACGTTTATAAGTATTTCATATTAATCGCCCTGGGAACACCAGTAGGGTTTCGAAAATAAATCTGACTAAACTTCCACGGGGTGTAATATTATACTCGCCTAACAATAGATTCAAATTGAATCATTATTTTTACATTATTTTTTTATTCGATTAAATTTCCCCCTTCCGCCCTCAATGGCATTCTAATACACTTTGACAATTGTCATTTTATTTATTTTTTAATAAAACCTGTCGTAAGTGCTTAAAAATACCAAAGTGTATATATAATTGAATGTAAGTTATGTTAAATTTAAGTTTTTTGGAACTGGAATCAATATAATAGCAGGAAAATTAGGAAAAATTCAGGGAAAGTAGAATTAATCAGGGAAAAGTCAGAAAATTTTATTAAAAATACTGGAAAAAATTAAATTTTTAGAACTCATGAGAAAATTCTAGTGTTTTTTGAGTTTGGTTTGAGTAAACTATAAAAATCTTTTAATAAATTCAATTATTTTAAAAAAATTACATTACAATATTTTTAATAAATTCAATTATTTTTAAAAAACTAATTTTTAAAATAGTTTCATCATAATTTCCAAAATAGGATTCAATTCTAAGGAAAAGTTCAATTATTTAAAAAAAATTCTTCAGAAGAATTCAATTATTCTCATAAATAATAAAATTCAACGAAGAAATTCAATTATTATGAAAATTTTTAATAAAATTCTTCATAAGAATTCAATTCTTATAATTTTTATAAATAATATAATTCTTTAAAAAAAAATTATTTTTAAGAATTCCAGTATTTTCAATTCAAGAATTATATTAAAATTTACAAAATAATTTAATTTCTTCGCAGAATTTTATTATTTATGAAAATAAGTGAATTATTGCAAAGAATTTTATTTAAATTTTTAAAAATAATGGATTTAGAGAATAATTTTAGTTAAAAACTCTGTAGAAAAAATAATTGAATTTTAAGGCAATTCTCCAAAAAATTCAATTATTTTCAAAAAAAATTTTAAATTCTCGTCAAGATTTTTTAATTATTTTTATAAAAAGCAAAATTATTCGTCGAAATTCAATTATTTTCATGAAATTAAAAATTTATTAAAAGAATTCAATTATTTTCAAAGCAATTCAATTATCTGAATAAATATTAAATTTAGACCTAAAAATTCAATTATTTTTATGAATTTTAATAAAATTCTTTGCAAAATTTAATTATTTTCAAAAATAATAGAATTCGTTGCAAAAATTCAATTATTTTCAAATTTTTTTTTTAAATTCTCGTCAAGATTTTAATTATCTTTATAAAAAGCAAAATTATTCTTTGTAATTCAATTATTTTCATCAAATGTAAAAATTTAAATGTTCTCCACTTAATGATTTTTAATATTTATTATTTTAATAAAATTTTCTAAAAGAATTCAATATTATTAAACAAAATTTTTGATAAAATTCTACGAAAACATTCAATTATTTTCATAAATAGTAAACATTTCACAGGAATTGAATTATTTATTAAAATATAATTTTGCATAAATATTTTTAAAAAATATCAATTCAAATTTTTTTTAAATATTTAAATTTATTTAAAAAAATTCTTCACAATAATTGAAAATTTTAATTAAATTTAAATTTATCTAAAAAGTTTTAGGGTCTTAGATTTTTTTTTTAGAAATTAATAGAAAATAAAAAAACGAATAAAATAGTAAATTTAATGAAAAATTGTCCATTGAAGTAAGACTTTTTTTTTGTACTTTAAATCGTCTTTTTTTGCGCGAGCCTTGCTTATTGAAAGATCACTCGCACTCTGAATGGAAAAAGAGACGGCGATGAAATCTTCTAATTATATAAAAGAATAATGCCGACAAGTATTAAAATATTTGTGTATATAAAGTTTAATTAATCATGCGTATACCTAATAAACAGAAGGAGATGAAATATAAAGAGAAGAACTTAAAATATAATATCAAAAGAGAGCAGTGCACGCAATTGCATTTTTAAAATAACGATTTTTGAGTGCGAAAAATATGGGAATTATGCTTTGAGAGTGGGAATATAATTTGAAAGGCCCTTATCTTCGACTGGACCTTGGTATTTAATATATTTAAGGCGACACACATATGTGCGGTGAGGAATCACAGGCCGTTAAGTTTGCATTTTTACAACCATTCTTAATTACAAGAGACGCAGGGTGTGTTGAACGCGTGTTCATATCTTTAAAAATTATTTATGTGATTGCTTAATGAACCTGCCAATGTGGAACAGGAAATATTTCGAGTCCGCTACTATTTTGCTTAGTACTTTTTTTTAATCCTTTTTTTTAAATTATTCATTAATGTTAATTTATTACTAAAATTAATTAATTAAAATTAATTTTAAAAATCTTGGTTTCAGATTGATAATTAACTTTAAAGAAGAAAAAAATGGATGATTATTTTAAATTGATGATGCTTTAAATTTTGTTTTGTATTATAATTATATACATGTGCGTGTACACTTGGTGATTTATTAGAAAGATTCTTCAGTAATGTTCTAGGCTGATGTTGTTAATATTCAGTTCCATTTGTCATCTATTGATAGATTATTTATTTTCTCTTTGTAATCTGTTTCTCTCAGCAGGCTTCTATTTATTGAAATTGTTTTCAGTTGAGACATAAATTATTCCTTCGTATGTGGGATTGAGATTAAAGTATATAATTTTTTTAGAAATTAAATTTACAAATTAAATCGATTTAAAAAAAAAATGAAGAATTTTTATAAATATTTTTTATATTCAATTATTCTACTTTTTGATTTTTCAATTTTGAAATAAAAAAGTTTTGCATTGTAAAATTCAATGGAACGATTTTGATTTGTTTTGACGTTAGTGATGTAGAAAAAAAGATCAGCTCATGAATTCCTGTCGATCTGTCATTGATAAAAATATATTCTAGCTGGCCATCTGCTAAATGTATCGAAAGAATAACGATTTTTGTGTATTTGTAATTTTATTTTACCGTGGACTTTAAATATTTTATAGCTGCTTTCATATTTTTTCCAGTGATAATTTTTTCAACCTTTTTGATTTTTTTCAACTTCTTTAATTGTTTTCAAATTATTTTTTCAAATTATTTTTTCAAATTATTTTTCCAATTATGTTTGGAAAAATAGATAAAAATAAAAATCACTTTATTTGGAATAGAAAATCTAAATAGAACAGTAATTTATAGTTTAATACTTTAATTAGAGTGATTATAGGATAATAATGCGCAGTAATTATTTGAAATTGACAAAATTTAACATTCTTTTATTCATTTTCCTTTCAGGTGGAATCTGTTAATCTCGCATTGAATATTCTCGATGGCTGGAAAATCAGAGGAAAGACTTTATCAGTCCAAAGAGCGAAATTCCAATTGAAAGGCGAATACGATCCTTCAAAGAAGCCCAAAAAGAAGAAAAAGGACAAAGAGCGACAGAAAAAATTCCAAGAAAAGTGAGTAGAAATTTTACCTCTTTCAACTATTTTACAGTTATAGAACAATCCTGACAGTTTAATTTTTAGTGATCTCAGCTTTTTTTATATTTGTTACTGACATTTAATTTAAATATTGCTGAATTTAAATATCACTAATAATAATTTATCGAACTAAACAAATTTTTTTACTAGCGAAAGATGTTCTACTTTCAAAATTTACTTTTTAATTATCCGATTCATAAAATTGCGAAATTAATTTTTAACACTTTCTTCAAAATATGGAATAAATTTTTAAAGAGTCTAAACGTTTAAAGTAATGTCAATGATAATTATAAATTATAATGATAATCCTCTTTTAAAATTTGGGTGGTCTTCTGAAGAATAATAATTGTCATAATGGAACAATTCATTTTTTCTCTCTTAAGCCCCTTGAGCAAAGTATATGCACTTGAATCAGATATAATTATGCATTATTGAAAAATAAACGAGTGAATATTTTCGGGTTAATAATACAATAATAATGATAATAATATAATATTCATGAGATTGATTGGATGAATTGCCGGAGTGTCTTTAAACTTGTTTTCGCGTATTTCAAGCACAGACTGCTTGGCGTTTGCAGTTCTGGTAAAAGTAGTCTGTACCACATATTACTCAGCATCTTATTCAGTGAACGCACATCTGTCTGAATGCAATTTCTTTCACTGCTGCGTTGAATCGTTGCGTTGATCTTGATATTCTCGTATGCACGAGCAGAAACAGAACGGTCATCTTCCTGAATTTCAAAGATTTTCCCGATGGGCTTAAATACATTTATTTCATTCATCAGACTCTCGTCCCTTGGAAAACTTTTATCAACATGTGTCACTAATTTTATTCCCTTTTTTCAAATTAGAAATTAAATTCCATTACTCCTTTTTCTTATTTCATTAAATTAATAAAATTCTCTAAATATTTTGTTACCAGTTCAGGGTTGACACAAAAAATTAATTTTGTTTTTTCCTGATCTTTTCCTGACATTTCCCTGATTTCCAGACTTTTTCCTGATTAATTTTCACTTTCTCCCTGACCCTAAAGAACATTCTGATTCACTCTAAAAATTATTAAATATTTAAAAAAATGTTCCATTACATTTTTTTACGAATTTCCATAATAACTGTAAAATTGAAAAAATCGGCTCGGTGAAACTAGCGACCCGCCGGCCGCCAGCCATCAGAAAAATCCAAAGGCGCCGACACACATATAGTAGCGCGGTGGCCCTATACGGCTTAATCAACGCAAAAACAACGTACGCTAGCTATTACAGTTTATAGAAAAAAATGCAATAGTCACATTTTAAACAGCAATAATCTCCCTTTAATTTGCGACCAAGAAACAAGAATTTGTTCAAAAATTGATCGAGTTATGAATTTTTTTAAAACTTTTTTTTTAATTTTCGTTTTTCTGATGCGGGCGGGTGGGGACGCTGGCTGTCAAAAATTTTTTAAACATTGTCTAATTGGTCCAATGACAAGAAGCATACATCCCTCTTTAATTTGCGACCAAGAAACAAGAATTTGGTCAAAAATTGATCGAGTTATGAATTTTTTTTGAACTTTTTTTTCAATTTTCGTTTTTCTGATACGGGCGGGTGGGGACGCTGGCTGTCAAAAATTTTTTAAACATTGTCTAATTGGTCCAATGACAAGAAGCATACATCCCTCTTTAATTTGCGACCAAGAAACAAGAATTTGGTCAAAAATTGATCGAGTTATGAATTTTTTTTGAACTTTTTTTTCAATTTTCGTTTTTCTGATACGGGCGGGTGGGGACGCTGGCTGTCAAAAATTTTTTAAACATTGTCTAATTGGTCCAATCACAAGAAGCATACATCCCTCTTTAATTTGCGACCAAGAAACAAGAATTTGGTCAAAAATTGATCGAGTTATGAATTTTTTTTGAACTTTTTTTTCAATTTTCGTTTTTCTGATACGGGCGGGTGGGGACGCTGGCTGTCAAAAATTTTTTAAACATTGTCTAATTGATCCAAAGACAAAAAGCATTAATCCCTCTTTAATTTGCGACCAAGAAACAGGAATTTGGTCAAAAATTGATCGAGTTATGAATTTTTTTTGAACTTTTTTTTCAATTTTCGTTTTTCTGATACGGGCGGGTGGGGACGCTGGCTGTCAAAAATTTTTTAAACATTGTCTAATTGGTCCAATGACAAGAAGCATACATCCCTCTTTAATTTGCGACCAAGAAACAAGAATTTGGTCAAAAATTGATCGAGTTATGAATTTTTTTTGACCTTTGTTTTCAATTTTCGTTTTTCTGATACGGGCGGGTGGGGACGCTGGCTGTCAAAAATTTTTTAAACATATTCCTATTGATCCAATGACAAAAAGCATTAATCCCTCTTTAATTTTCGACCAAGAAACAAGAATTTGGTCAAAAATTGATCGAGTTATGAATTTTTTTTGAACTTTGTTTTCAATTTTCGTTTTTCTGATACGGGCGGGTGGGGACGCTGGCTGTCAAAAATTTTTTAAACATTGTCTAATTGGTCCAATGACAAAAAGCATTAATCTCCCTTTAATTTGCGACCAAGAAACAAGAATTTGGTCGAAAATTGATCGAGTTATGAATTTTTTTTGAACTTTTTTTTCAATTTTCGTTTTTCTGATACGGGCGGGTGGGGACGCTGGCTGTCAAAAATTTTTTAAACATTGTCTAATTGGTCCAATGACAAGAAGCATACATCCCTCTTTAATTTGCGACCAAGAAACAAGAATTTGGTCAAAAATTGATCGAGTTATGAATTTTTTTTGAACTTTTTTTTCAATTTTCGTTTTTCTGATACGGGCGGGTGGGGACGCTGGCTGTCAAAAATTTTTTAAACATTGTCTAATTGGTCCAATGACAAGAAGCATACATCCCTCTTTAATTTGCGACCAAGAAACAAGAATTTGGTCAAAAATTGATCGAGTTATGAATTTTTTTTGACCTTTGTTTTCAATTTTCGTTTTTTCTGATACGGGCGGGTGGGGACGCTGGCTGTCAAAAATTTTTTAAACATTGTCTAATTGGTCCAATGACAAAAAGCATTAATCTCCCTTTAATTTGCGACCAAGAAACAAGAATTTGGTCGAAAATTGATCGAGTTATGAATTTTTTTTGAACTTTTTTTTCAATTTTCGTTTTTCTGATACGGGCGGGTGGGGACGCTGGCTGTCAAAAATTTTTTAAACATATTCCTATTGATCCAATGACAAAAAGCATTAATCCCTCTTTAATTTTCGACCAAGAAACAAGAATTTGGTCAAAAATTGATCGAGTTATGAATTTTTTTTGAACTTTGTTTTCAATTTTCGTTTTTCTGATACGGGCGGGTGGGGACGCTGGCTGTCAAAAATTTTTTAAACATTGTCTAATTGGTCCAATGACAAAAAGCATTAATCTCCCTTTAATTTGCGACCAAGAAACAAGAATTTGGTCGAAAATTGATCGAGTTATGAATTTTTTTTGAACTTTTTTTTCAATTTTCGTTTTTCTGATACGGGCGGGTGGGGACGCTGGCTGTCAAAAATTTTTTAAACATTGTCTAATTGGTCCAATGACAAGAAGCATACATCCCTCTTTAATTTGCGACCAAGAAACAAGAATTTGGTCAAAAATTGATCGAGTTATGAATTTTTTTTGAACTTTTTTTTCAATTTTCGTTTTTCTGATACGGGCGGGTGGGGACGCTGGCTGTCAAAAATTTTTTAAACATTGTCTAATTGATCCAAAGACAAAAAGCATTAATCCCTCTTTAATTTGCGACCAAGAAACAGGAATTTGGTCAAAAATTGATCGAGTTATGAATTTTTTTTGAACTTTTTTTTCAATTTTCGTTTTTCTGATACGGGCGGGTGGGGACGCTGGCTGTCAAAAATTTTTTAAACATTGTCTAATTGGTCCAATGACAAGAAGCATACATCCCTCTTTAATTTGCGACCAAGAAACAAGAATTTGGTCAAAAATTGATCGAGTTATGAATTTTTTTTGACCTTTGTTTTCAATTTTCGTTTTTCTGATACGGGCGGGTGGGGACGCTGGCTGTCAAAAATTTTTTAAACATTGTCTAATTGGTCCAATGACAAAAAGCATTAATCTCCCTTTAATTTGCGACCAAGAAACAAGAATTTGTTCAAAAATTGATCGAGTTATGAATTTTTTTAAAACTTTTTTTTTAATTTTCGTTTTTCTGATGCGGGCGGGTGGGGACGCTGGCTGTCAAAAATTTTTTAAACATTGTCTAATTGGTCCAATGACAAGAAGCATACATCCCTCTTTAATTTGCGACCAAGAAACAAGAATTTGGTCAAAAATTGATCGAGTTATGAATTTTTTTTGAACTTTTTTTTCAATTTTCGTTTTTCTGATACGGGCGGGTGGGGACGCTGGCTGTCAAAAATTTTTTAAACATTGTCTAATTGGTCCAATGACAAGAAGCATACATCCCTCTTTAATTTGCGACCAAGAAACAAGAATTTGGTCAAAAATTGATCGAGTTATGAATTTTTTTTGAACTTTTTTTTCAATTTTCGTTTTTCTGATACGGGCGGGTGGGGACGCTGGCTGTCAAAAATTTTTTAAACATTGTCTAATTGGTCCAATGACAAGAAGCATACATCCCTCTTTAATTTGCGACCAAGAAACAAGAATTTGGTCAAAAATTGATCGAGTTATGAATTTTTTTTGAACTTTTTTTTCAATTTTCGTTTTTCTGATACGGGCGGGTGGGGACGCTGGCTGTCAAAAATTTTTTAAACATTGTCTAATTGATCCAAAGACAAAAAGCATTAATCCCTCTTTAATTTGCGACCAAGAAACAGGAATTTGGTCAAAAATTGATCGAGTTATGAATTTTTTTTGAACTTTTTTTTCAATTTTCGTTTTTCTGATACGGGCGGGTGGGGACGCTGGCTGTCAAAAATTTTTTAAACATTGTCTAATTGGTCCAATGACAAGAAGCATACATCCCTCTTTAATTT